ATATTTTATTTTTTTATAAATGCATTTAATTTGAATGGTAAAATATATTTTTGCATTATTTGGTAATATTATAAAATTATTAAATAAAATAAATTAGTTTTCTTTATGCTCAATTCGTGGTGGGCTGTAGATAATATATACGAACCGATATCGATCCGTATATGACCTCATAGCAGCTTCCCCTCCCCTCCGTTGGTTACATTTCGTGAACTGTAGATTTTTTTCCCGGTATATACGGCCTTATATTCGGACCGATATTGGTCTGTATATATATATATAAACCGAGATCGGTTCGTATATGCTCCTGAGCAACAACTTTTTATTTTATTTTTTCTTTCATTATTAAATCGTTCTACTCTCGTTTAAAACCGTAACATTCCGAATGCTTGCAAACCAAAGTGGTTAACCTAAATAAAAATAATTAATTTTATTTGCTTATGGCTCCGAAAGAGCATTACATAACATTATCTCTAATAACTTTTAACTTATATGTTCGTGGTTTTGCAACGATATTATTCCGTAGTATCGTAAGATAATTTCAGCTAGACAATCGATGGTTTTGTGGTTCCAAGGGACTGTAGAGTCGATGTACATGCAATTGGTTTTCGCAGGAATGGATTTAGAACACGAGAAGATGGTAATGTCCTTAAATGAAAAGAATAAAAATGTGCACTGGAAGAAGTTTCTGGATTTTTTCTACTATATTCGAACCAAAATCGATCTGAAAAATGAAAAGCATGGAAGCTTCTGGATTCTTTGCATATATTCAGACCAATATCGGTCCGTATATATTCATACTAAATTTAATTTAGCTTTAAGATAAAAAAATCCCTTGTATTGCCTATATTCGGACCGATCTCGGTCCGTATATATCTATACAGACCGGGATCGGTCCGTATATTCCAATGAACAACAGCTTTTATTTATTTATTTTTTTTGTTATTTCATGCTTAAGTCGTTCTACTCTTGTTTTAAACCATAATATTCCGAATGTTTGCAAGCCAAAGTGGTTAACTTTAAGAAAAAAAATGAATTTTATTTGGTTATTACTCCGAAAGAGCATTACGTAACATTATCTCTAATAACCTTTAACTTATAC